GAGAGAGAGAGAGAGAGAGAGAGAGAGAGAGAGAGAGAGAGAGAGAGAGAGAGAGAGAGAGAGAGAGAGAGAGTTTGACACGCGATCAGTGAGCTGATTCTGACATGTGCCGTGTGGTGTCGTCTTGGCCTTTTATATTGCAGGAAATGCTCCTTGATGCACGCCCAGCAATACGGCTGCTCGAATGTGTCGTAGCGAACACCAAATGACAAGCAGATTGGATGTTTCACTACTCCATTGATAGGTGACAGGACCTGGTTAACAAGTACCCCCGGGCAGTCGTATAAATTGAAGGCAACTTCTTACAACTACCCCCGGGCAGTCGTATAAATTGAAGGCAACTTCTTACAACTACCCCCGGGCGATTTTCGAATCACACCGTCTGGGCCCACGGAACCTCCCTCTTCTACAAGGGAACACGATGCACGAGACTCGGCGACGGCAAGTTTGCACGTGAAGGAGGTGATCTCGAGCGGCCAGGCTGGATGTTGGGATCCCGCTAACGCATCAGAAGAGCGGGTAGGAGAGGGAATTTTAATTGAGGTTGATACAGTTGTCCTTGCCGCACCTTTTGGCTATAAAAGAGAGAGAGAGAGAGAGAGAGAGAGAGAGAGAGAGAGAGAGAGAGAGAGAGAGAGAGAGAGAGAGAGAGTGTAGTATCTGTTCTGATCAGTTTAATGCCGGGATTCAAAATTGGAGTAGTAGATTGATTGATTGATAAAACAACGTGCGGGGAGCGCCAAAGAGGCGGGCTATGGCGGAGGCACGGGGGGGTAGATGGGATGCTGATGCTCTAGGTGGAGGGGCATCAGCGTTTAGTGAGGGGGGGGGCGGTCTTCCCGCGCAAATGCTGGGGGGAGCAGTACCTGTATCGGGGGGGGGCGGTCTTCCCGCGCAAATGCGGGGGGGAGCAGGAACAGTACTTGTATCGGGGGGGGGCGGTCTTCCCGCGCAAATGCGGGGGGGAGCAGTACCTGTATCCGGGGGGGGAGGTCTTCCCGCGCAAATGCGAGGGGGAGTACCTGTATCGTTATCTTCTTCACCGTCGGGCGCTTCAGAGGGGGGGGGTGGCGATGGCGGTCGCATTCCTAGGGTGGGGGGGACAGACTTATCTCAGGCTCAGGCCGAGGCCGTTGATGATGTTGTCCCCTCTTCAGCTGCACCCGCAGAGCAAATCGGCGGTGGAGATATCGCTTGCTCCTCTCCTAGAGTAGAAGATTGGTCCGATATGGTTCATGAAGGTCTTGTTGTCGTTTTCCGTTATCTCTCCGTTAAGGACCGAATCGTTGTAGGCGCCGTTTGTCGGAGCTGGCGGCGCGCTTCCCTCGATCCCGGGTGTTGGCGGGAAGCAGATCTCACCCCTCTCCCATTATGGACGGAGGGGTCCAAAAACGTGTTCTTCGATGTCTTACTGACCCGAAGCAAGGGGCAATTGCGCAAATTGTCTGCTGACCTTTATCCCGCCAAATGTCTTGATAGGATTTGGCGGGAATGTCCGTTGCTCGAGGACTTGCGGTTTCTGAGATGCAGTTGTGCGATCGAAGAGGCGCCGCTGGAACAACTCTCGGCGGGTCTTCTTTCTCATCTACGGGTTCTCAAATTGAACAAGCTTGACATCTTACAGACCTGGGACTCCGAGACGAGAGTTCTTGCGACGGCGGATGCTCTTGTCATCGCCATAGCGAGAGGCTGCAAGCAGCTTGTGTCCTTGTCGCTGAATGGTGATTACACCCAGTTCACTGACACTGCTGTGGAGGCCATCGTCGAGCATCTGCCCCGACTAGAAAGGCTAGGGTTGAGCGGGAGTGTGATAACCGACGCTAGCTTGGCATTGATTGGTGCTCAGTTAAAAAGCTTGCGCAAGCTCAAAGCTCTGTGTTGTTGGGACTTAACCGATGAAGGTGTGAGTGCCTTGAAATCCGCTCGCAAAGACCTTAAGGTGTTGACTAGTTCCTGTCGTAGTTCTCTCGATAGCGGTGATAGTGATGGATTGGATATCGATTATGAGGAGTGGTATGAAGAGTACGATGATTTCGACGGGGAGGTTGAGTGTGATTACGATGACCAAGAGTATGATGATGATGATGAGCGAGGAGGGTGGTAGAGGAGGGTAAGGGGTAAGTGCCTGTAGGGAGAAGATGATGGAGAGGGAGATGGCAGTGATGTTCCTTTCGGTTGTGGGAAAAATGGAATGGAGCGAGGGTGGGTAGAGAGGAGGTCAGGACGTGTAGGAGAAGGGAGATGGCGATGATGAAGATGATGATGATGATGATGATGATGATGATGATGATGATGAGCGAAGGTTGCAGAGGAAGTAAGGATCTGTACGACAAGGAGATGGTGAAGAGGGAGATCGCGATTAGGATGATGATGGTGATGATGATGATGATGATGATGATGATGATGATGAGCGAGGGTGGTAGAGGAGGTAAGTGGTTGTAAGAGGATGATGATGAAGAGGGAGATGACAATGATGATGATGAGCGAGGGTGGTATAGGAGGTAAGAGTGTGTAGTAGAAGGAAGATGGTGAAGAGGGAGATGGCGATCATGTGATGATGATGATGATGATGATGATGATGGTGATGATGATGATGATGATGAGCGAGGGTGGTAGAGGAGGTCAGGATTTGTACGAGGAGGAAGGCGGTGAAGAGGGAGATGGCGATTGTTATTGTTATTATTATGATGATGATGATGGTGATAATGATGATGCATCATGAGGATGATGAGCGAGGGTGGTAGAGGAGGTGAGTGGTGGTTGGAGGAAGATGATGAGCAGGGAAATGATGATGATGATGATGATGATGATTTGTAGGGGGCTTGGGTGGCAGTGGATGATGGGTCTGAGGAGATGATCGCAGCATGTTCGAGTGGCTTTTCCTTGATCTCATTGTTCTGACACGTGGCGCGGCCATATTGCTTCCTGCAAGTAATCAGGGACAAGGATTGGCTCCTGATTAAGGTTGTACTGCACTTGGGACTTTCGGGGGTGAATGCGGGCGTCATTGCGGTCGGATACGTCAGAGAAAGTCCATATGTGAATGATGGTGTCTTCTCCCTGTCTTCACAAGTGTATCAAAGGGTTATTAGGTAGGTTGTTATTCCTGGAAACTACCCCAAACCGGGTCTTAGGGTTTTTTTGCTCAATAAGGCGGTTGGCGGATCCTCATCGAACATGGATTACCTGTTTAGGAACGTCAATCTTATGTTGTGACAAAGCCGCGGGTCTCTTTTGCGGATCGGAGGTCTCCATGTTCGATGGACCTGTGCAGCCGCTTTTGCCCCAGCTGTATACGTTTGCGCACCCTTTCCTCTCTGTGTGTGTGTGTGTGTGTGTGTGTGTGTGTGTGTGTGTGTATTTGTAAGATAGCAGATGACGAAGCGAACATAGAGATAAGGTTGGGCACACACACACACACACACACACACACACACACAGAGAGAGAGAGAGAGAGAGAGAGAGAGAGAGAGAGAGAGGGAGAGGAAGGAACTGCCTTCTTCCCCGAGCACATCGCACACTCATCATCATGAGTGTATCGAACGTGAAAAGTAGCTGTTATACACATGATCAGGGTGCGTTCTGTTCGGGGGAAGACGGTAGTGCTCCGATGTTGTCGACTCTTTGTCATAGTTCATCGCGGCGAGGGGTAGAGATCCCGTCGCCGGTCCAGACTTGTATGTAGTTCTCGTCTAGTGCGTCTTTCTGGTATTGAGATCCCGTCTCCGATCCAGACAATAACGATGTTTTCTCTCCGTTTCAACTTCGTCATTGTTTGTCGTTTTCCGAGGCTCTGTGCGTCTGACAAGTGTCATTTAAAAAAAAGAATGGAGTAAAATAAAATAAAATAAAACAAATAATTAGCTCATGGCAGAATGAAGTAAAATAAAATAAAATAAAACACATAATTAGCTCTGTGCGTCTTATTGTCATTCACTCTCTCTCTCTCTCTCTCTCTCTCTCTCTCTCTCTCTCTCTCTCTCTCTCTCTCTTTTTTCTTTCCCTCTCTCTCTCTCTCTCGCGTTTTTCTTTCACTCTCTCTTTTTTTTCTTTCCCTCTCTCTCTCTCTCCTTTCTTTTATTTTTTATTATAAATCGATCTCTCTTGTTTTTCGTAAGTACTTAAATACTGTAGCATTTGCGATTTTTGAGGATTGAAACGGTTGTTAAAATCCCAGTTAAAAAAAAAAAAAAAAAAACCAGTTTTTTCCGATCGAGCAATCGTCGTTTGTGCAGTATCGTCGCAGCCGTGAGTAATAATTGCTTTAAAATCCCAATCCCTCCTTTTTTGTTTTCTTTTTTGAAATCCTTGCATTTGTTCATTTCTAGATGAGAATAAGAAAAAAAAAGAATAATACGAAAAACGGCGTGTAATAATCTGTCATGCTATTATGCGGATCGGTGCAGAGGATGTTTCGGATTCGAGCACGTCTTGTGGTCGTTTCTCTTAAGAGTGTTTATTCACACTAGGACTTTTTCTGGATGTATCTGATCCCAATTGCGGCTGGCCCTGGATGTATCTGACCGCAATTACGTCCACAGGTGAGTTAAAAAGGTCTTAGTGTGACTACGAAGGGGCCTCACTCCACGACCAATCACCCGAAGAGTCGATTTCCCACGGAATGGGACTGCTCACCATGGGATTTCTCTCACGAAATGGTGGTCGCCGCCCGAAATGGCAGTCGCCGTCGGAAATGGCGGTCGCCGCCGGAAATGGCGGTCGCCGCCGGAAATGGCGGTCGCCGCCGGAAATGGCGGTCGCCGCCCGAAATGGACCGCCGCCGAAATGGTGGTCGTCGCCGGAAATGGCGGTCGCCGCCCCACCAGTCACCACACTTGAGGAGCGCTCACAAATACGGGTGAGTGTCACACCCCCTTCTCTACCCCTGCCCGCTTCCCTATTGTGAGCTTGGGATCTCCTGAGTTCCACTCATAGCGCAGAACAAAAGCAGCAGAAAAAAGTCCGTCTGAGGGCCTCGCTCCACTACTCTGGAAATGTGCAAACGAGAGTGAATCTTTCGCTAGAACATGGAAAGATACACCCGCCATGATGTTTGTCTTTTGTGCATGTCGAGAGTAGTGGAGCTAGGCCCTGAGATTATTACAGTATATACACTAATACACAGAGAGAGAGAGAGAGAGAGAGAGAGAGAGAGAGAGAGAGAGAGAGAGAAGCTGCGCAGAAGTCTGTCTTCAGCTACATTGAGTTGGGGATATTATTCAAATACAGCGGATCCGCCTAATAAGGACATAGGGCCTCGCGCGACCACGTACCGCGGTTGCCTTTTGGGTAAATACCGTCGCCGGTTCAGCACTGTTAGCGCCTCGCCCCACTACTCACGAAATGTGCAAAATGAGGATGAATTATCACCTAGAACATGGAAAGATGCATCGCCATAGTTTTTGTCTTTTGCGCATGTGGTGAGTCCCCCGCGTGTCAGTAAGTCAGGTTTTCACGTCGTGGTGGCAGAGTTCTTGTATGCAAGGGAATGATTGCTTCTTAAGGGAGTAGGGAGTAGGGGTGGGGGGGGAGAAGGAGAGAGGGGAGGTGCCGGATCGACGACGAGAGGTGAAGGGAGGCGGAGGAAGGGTAGAGAGAGGGTTTATGTGGAGAGGGTGAGTAGGGAACAGGCTGTGATTGAGGGTGGGTCAAGATCTGAACCAACCTCAGCAATTGAGCTTTGTTAAAGGTCTCATCTCGCTCCTCTCAGCAGGCGCCAGGTGGTATAGATCATGCACCCGGCCGTCCGCACGTCCAGGTTCATTGTGAGATTTAATTAGTTGAGATACTTGCGGACTCCCTTCGAAGGAGCGGGCAAAGCGCTTCCCGGGGGGAAAGCAGCGGAAAGAGTGGGTAAGCAGGGAGACAAAAGAGGGGGAGCGGCAGGGGGAGGGGCAGGGGGAGGGTTTAGGGTTTGGTGTTGACATGAGTGAGCGCTTGGAAGTGGTGCACGGTGGGGGGGTATGACTGAAGTGTGAGAAGGAATTATATCCTCTGGCTAGAGATCCGAGTGGGAGAGCCAGAGGCTGTACGGGTAATGGGTGACCATGGACGATAGGGAGGGAGGGGGGGGAAGGGAGGGAGTTCTGAGTATGATGAAGATCGTTCGGGCGAGAAAAAGGGGAGGGTTTA